TTTTTAGTTTGAAGTATGTAACTATGAAAGACTGTTCAAATATTATAAATTATGTTTAATATTATATAGTTTGAATGAGTCAAATAGGCATAATTTGTTGCTATATCTTTTATTCTATTAGCCTTCTCTCTTTTATTTATTTGTTGAAAAAGCCATGTGGTGCCATTTAACATGTTATTTTTCTTTTTATATTTTCTGTAAGTTGACAGTTGGATCTAGAGGTTTAAGGCACATTTGGTAATTTAAGGGAGGGAGGAAAATGCTTTCATGGTGGTGTTTTGATATTCTAACAGAAACTGTGTGTCATCTGGTCATTTTTTTTGGGGGGGGAAGTAATTATTGATGATAAATATCCACATCCATTACTTTCAAAGGTGCTTACAAAGTTATGGTATTCTTAATCAACTTACTAGATATTCTTCCTTCTTTATTAGCTGGACTACTTCTTTAAAGAAAATTTAACATTTTAATCAATTCTAGATGCACAGACCAGGGATATTAAGTACATTTAGATCATTACCAACCTCCACCATTCATCTCCAGAATTCTTCATTTTGCAAAACTGAAACTGTTCCCATTAAACACTGACTTCCCATTCCTCCCTTTACCAGCCCCTGACCCCTATACCATCTGCTTTCGTTATCTATGGAATGGATTCCTCTAAGGAACTTCACATTAATGGAATCATACAGCATTCTTCCTTTTGTAACTGGTTTATTTCACTTGCATAATGTTCTCAAGGTTGAATGATACTGTAACCGTGTGAGAATTTCATCTTTTTTTCTCTCTTATTTATCCTAAAATGAAGTACTTTTTCTCACATCATTGTTAAATTTTGGACCATATATGATTTACTCCCTCAGGTATGGTAACACAGTTCTCCTACCACCAAAATACTCCCAGTCTATCTCCCTAGTTGCCTATGCTCCTCTGTCAAATCTTACTTTCCACCCTGTCCTCACTTCTTCCTCCACCCCCTCACCTCTTAGATGCCCTTGGTCAGTTTTCAAGGTCTGTTTGTTTGACCCTTTGTTTGGGTTCTCTATATCCCACATATAAATTATACGTGAAATCACCCAATGTTTTTATCTTTCTCCTCCTGACTTATTTTTGCATGCATAATCTCTTCCAGCTCCATCCATGCTGCTGTAAACAGCACATGATTCATCTTTTTTAATCGCTGAATATTATGAAATTTATAAAGAGATATTCCCACTAATACACTTTATCCATTGGTATACTTGAAGATAAATATTTCAATCTGTTCCTTTACTGGCCAATTAGAATAATAAACTGCTTCATTAGAATACTCCAATGATGACCAATTTCTTTAACTATCATTACAAAGTCATAAACTTAAATATTAAATATATTTCAAATTGAATGCTTTTTATTCATCTACTAAGCTTTATATTTTAACCAATTAATATACTAAAATATATAAATTTATTTTTAATGGTAAACCAACCATGTATTTTTAGAAGAAATTCACTCTGGTCACAGAATAGCTAAAAATACATATACTGCTTAATTCAGATTGCAAATGTTTTGCTGAGAATATCTATATCTGTGTTCATAAGTAAAACTGTTCTAAACTTTTCTCATATTGTCACTGTTAAATTTTGTTATGAAGGTTATATAAGCTTCATAGTTGGGGAAGAGTTACTTGTTTTTCCATTCCTTGGAAGAAACTGTAAAGAGTGGAAATATTTTTCCTTGAATGTTTGGTAAAATCTGTAAAAATGCCAGGGCCCAATGCTCATTTGTTTGCTTTCTTTCAAAATGTTTTAAATTAAACACACACACACACATCATAAATAGTAAGATTACAGCTTGGTTCTTTATCACTATAGCAATTTTACCCTTTCATACATCATCTCAGCCTGGTCTTTACTTTTACAAGATATTTGAGTTGGTGGGAACAGTAGATACATTAAAATAACTGCCCCCATTGACAAAAAGAACATTTAGGTTTGAAAGATGCCATTATCAATTCTATTCAACAGGAAAAACAATTGAACCAGTTTTCACCTACTAGACCAGATTATTCTAAACAAGGTTGTAATAGTGAGCTGGCAAAATTTAAATTCGAGCCACTAATTTTTTTTTTTTTTAAAGAACTATATATAGAAGATGGTTAAAAAATACAAGAAATCTGGCCCTCCCTGGTGGCGC